ACCTCTTTTGATGAGCTTCATTCAAGTAGGAAGAGAACATTCAAAGTGGCCGAAAGTATGGTAGTACATACTGTTTAGACATAACCAATTGCAGATGATTCAGGGATCACAAAGAACCCAGGAGGTTGTCATTTGGGAAAAGGGTTAAGAGGACAAGGATCTCACCCTGCATATAGGCTCCTAGTCCTGGACTATGTCCAATCCCTTGGAGATGTAAGAAAAAAGGGGAAAAGGAGGGAGACAGCTATGGAATTCCTATGGTCTTCCTAGCCCTGGAGTACAAAGCTGGCATTTTTAGCAAGAGTCTCACATTCCTAGATTTGGCAAGACTTCAGGTTATTTAAAAAAAAAAAAAGAATTGGGATGGCAGGTGGTAGGTGGCCATGGAGGAAGAGAAAGTCCAACTTCAAGTTTTAAATCCTCTGTGCTCTCTAGCATGACCATCTTTCCTGTCTATAGTCTTCTATTCCTGCTATCTATGTCTTCCTATTTACTTCCCAAATGGTTTGTAAAGATTTATGAAGTGTTGGGGGCAGCTAGGTGGTGCAGTGGATAGAGCACCGGCCCTGAAGTCAGGAGGACCTGAGTTCAAATCTGGCCTCAGACCAAACACTTGACACTTACTAGCTGTGTGACCCTGGGCAAGTCACTTGACCCCAATTGCCTAAAACAAAAAAAAACACAACCAAACAAAAAAAAAGATTTATAAAGTGCTTGTAGATCCTCAAATCTCAACTGCTGTCTGTTGACACAGGGTTATGCCAAAAAGATGGCACTATACCCACAGCTAAGTGTTGGTGAGGGGTGAGACTCAGGGAAACACTGTAGCAATTTAGTGATTATAAACAGCATATGGATATCCTTTTAATTCTATATTCTGTACATCCCTCTCACTCCCATGTCTTAAGAATTAATAGAATGTTAAAAGAAGAAGGGATCTGAAAGATCATTTAGTCCAAACTCATTTTGCAGATGAAGAGAGAGAGGCCCAAACTGAGGAAATGACTGAGTTAAGACCATGCAGTCAGTAAGTGGCAAAACAGAGCCTTGAACCCAGGTCTTTAGACGTTAAGGTTTCTCCTACTTAGTATTTCTTGCTGTTGGAGGAGTCAAGGGAAACTAGAAAATGCCAGCCTCCTTGCCACAGAGAAGCCGGGAACTTACAGCCTATTTAGGGAAGCTAGCCTCACCCACACATAAAAAAACTATTCAAGAATAATAGCAATTTACAATCAAGTGTCAAACAGGCTCATATGCACTGAGGTCAGAGGAGGGAGGGATCAGTGTGCACTGCTGAGAAGATCCCTTGGGGGGAGAGGCTTTGAGCTAGATTTTCCTGAAAGAGCCTCTGACCCAAGAACAAACAGAGTTTCTATACCCATGTCTCTCTGGATGGGTTCGAAATCATTCCAAACTGTAGATATAACTGGCCATTTAAGAATCACAAGGAAAAGTTTCTTATTCTTGAGAAAGTCAGCAGGAGGCCAGGATCTTGGTTACTGAGGCCATTCTCATCACCAGCTCTTTATTTCCCATTGAAAGGCCTAACTCTGCAAAGATGGCACCAGAGGTTGCTGGGAAAATGATTATGTGGCCCCAAAAGGGGTATTGGGCTTCTGGTCAAGGTTAAGCAATAGGAGTGAGTCACTGGCAGATTAGAACTATCCATCCCTAGGCAAATACTTCTCAGCTAGAGAATCAAAGGCCAGAATGAGAGGCAGGAGCTAGGAGAGCCCTTCTCTGCAGAGTAAGAGTCAGAGAGGAATTTGCTATGGGACCACAGCAGGCATGGCACTAATCATGCCAGCTAATTATGCAGCCCCTTTCATCCTCAGCTCACCAAGTGCGTAATCCCCACTACCCCCTCTGAGTTCAATAGCCAAGGAGGATTTATGGAGGAAGAAACAGAAGCATAGAGGAGCTAAATAAGTTACAAACTGGGCTTTAGCATTCCCAGCTTGGGAAGGAATAGAAGTGAAAGAAGGTTCAGAGTTCTGTCTTCCAATCTCACCAATCCTAGCTCTTTGGGCCAAAACTTTGCTCATCATCTTAGCTAATATCCATGTATGGACAAGAAGACTTGTTTTTGATCATAGTTCCTCTCTTGGTTTACTCCTTCTACTTTCTTTTGGGCTTTCAGCTACCTAATTACCAAATGGGAATAACCTCCATTCCTCTCCAGGAAATTGTGAGTGAAGAGAGTGTTTCATTCAGTCAGCCTATATTTAGTATGTATCCTTTATGTACAGGCCAGTGCTAAATGCCATGAAAGGCTACTGGAATGGAAAAGACAGTCCCTGTCCTCATGAAATGTCTAGTCTAGCTAGGGAGATAAGCACAACATGAATAGTAAACCCTTAATAGAAGTTTGTTGAATTGAATAGAACACAAATAACTACAATACAAGGTAGAATGTAATGTGTGTACTAAGAGATACAATAAAATGCTATGAGAATTAAGAAGACAGAGAGATTACTCCCACTTGGTGGGACCAGAAAAGGCTTCTGGGAAGAGAAAATGTTTGGGCTGGGCCTTGAAATATTGGCAGAATTTGGGCAGACAGAGTCTGATAGGTCCTTAGGGCACTCCATGTAGAGGTAATAGTGCAAGCAAAAGCTTGGAGACAGTGAAGTATGGAATGTGTTTAGAGAACAAAGAGGAGTCTAGTTTAGTTAAGACAGCATTGTGTAGGGGAGCAGCAACATAAGGAAAAGTAGGGTGGGGCCAGATCGTGGAGGGTTTTGAATGCCAGTGAGTTTGTCTTTCGCTTGATGGGTAAAGAGGAACCGTTGAAGAGTCATGTCTATAAAGGCAGGGAAGCAACTTAGCAAAACCCTAATGAATGTAATATATTTATCTTTTTTATTATATTTAGAATAGTCAGAATCATTCTTAATTCATGATGTTCACATGGTTTTACTTACAGTTTCTACACCGTGACTAGCCCTGGGAGGGGGACAGGGTGATTTTCTTTGAGAAAATGAGACGGTATGAAGGACTCAGATATTTGCACTCAGGAGAGGATTCTCTCCCTGTTGCTGATGCTGTCTCACATCTCTGCTTGAGTCAGAGACCAGGGACTGCTAACTAAGCTTGGATTGACTTTGGTGTCCAAGAGCTTGAGGATGAAGTTGAGGTTGGAGGCGAGATCAGCTGTGGCAAGAGAAGAAGGTGGATACCCAAGTCTGGCTCTAGTTTGACTCATCGTCCGTCATCTCCCCCACCCCCAGGCAGGGAAATGGCGGCCTAAACCGAGAGGAGGGGTTTCCACCAAGAACGCTTACTGTCTTTGACCATACTGAGACAGCTTCCAGGTGGTCGCTGGGGCCTGACAGATTTCTTAGTATGCCAAGCTACTCTCCAGGGACTTCTGTCACTACCCCTCCTTGGAAAAGTGCAGGAAAGAAACATTCCTTCCTGGCCTGCTGCCCTCTCCTAGTCTGACTTTCTCTTGGCCCATTATCTCAGAGTAGGATTTGGTTACTGTTGTTTCTTGAAGCTTGACTCAGGGACTGGGAGCAAGATGGGTTGTTACCCCTGGGATTTGTCTTAGGGAAGAGGAGAGGGGGCATTTTGCACCAGGAAGTAGTCACAGAATGCCTGTGCCCATGAGTTTGACATTCTTACCTTACCAGCCCAGGTTAGAACATTCAGCTGGGTCTGAGTTGAGATGGTATCCTCAGTGGGGGTAGTCTCTGATTCCTGGAAACCAGCTCTGGCATAGGGCTGGGCTAGGCTGAAGGAGCCATGTGATAAGAAATCAATGACAATAAAGAGAATCTGGAACTCTGGTCACCCAGTTCATAGTCATCAAATTTTAGAGCAGGGGCCTGGACTTGGCCACAGGATTCCTGTCTCTCAGTCTTGAGCTCATATTTAGAATCTGAGGGAGACTTCTGGCAGAGGTAAAACTGGCTGGGGCAGGGGTAGGGGGTGGGGAGGCAGGAAAGGGAATAGACTAAAGGACAGATGGGAAGAACCCGCTCTCGGTTTTCCTGTATCCAATTTCAGAGTCTCCAGGGATCAGGACTCTGCCCATACCGCATCAGGCTTAGGATAGCCCACCTGTCACCAGGACTAAGTGGGGGTGGAGTACCTTGGGGAGGAGGAGACATAGGACTGAAGCAAGGTTCCACTTGGAGGGGGAAAGGGAACAGCATATGTAAATCATCTCTCTTGGCAAGATGTGCTCTCTCACTTTGAAATAAAACCCTCTCCCAGCCCATATACCAGGATCAGCTCAGGTTCGGTATACCTTCCTTCTGGGCCTCACCCCAGCCACCCACCTCCCCCATGCCAAGGAAAGCTCAGGTCGGGTGAGGAATAGGGGTCATTTGAAACCTCCATTGGCCATCTTCATGGCAAGTGCAGGACTGCTCTGGATTGAACTGGGACGGGGACTTCTCTGGAACACTTTATGGAAGGACATCCCCCCCCCCCCTCAAGTGGCCCCTTATAGCATGTACATGCAACACTTCCAATTCATGAATTTAGTCTGAGTGGTCCTAACTGGGATCCCAGATGGTTGCCCCCAAGGGCTCTTTTCCCTCCAGTCATCATTCCTTAGTCATTTCTGGAAGGGTTCACTATTCTGGGGAGACGTGCAAAGGATCTGTTCTCTATAGTTCTGGTCCCACTATTTGGAGTCCATTAGTCCCAGGACCCCAAGCACTTTGTCTCTTTGTGGACGAGCCTGCCCTTGGGTGCCTTCCAGAGACTTGGAGACTTTAATTTAATCCTCTCCAGGTAACCACCACCCAACTTTTCTCTAGGCTCTGTAATCTTGTTATTTTTATCTTTCCTTCAAATGGGGTGAGAGTAGAGAGAATCTGTCAAACAACTCATTTGAGATCCCCCATGTTAGGCCCAGGTTACCTCAGAACCCTTAGATCTGACAGATGTTGAGCATCCCCAACTCTCTCTGGCCTACACCGAGGCTCCTCTCTCCTCCCTTCCTTCATCAGACCCCTGCCTCTCCCTATTTCCTGTTCTGTCTGCAGAGCAAGCGTGGAAGATGTCGAACCAGAGCGACGGCAACACCAAGCCCCCATGCTTGCCCCGGAATGGCCTGGTAAAGCTAGCCAGCCAGCCCAACGGCCTCAGCTCTGCCAGCATCACCAAAGGGACCCCAGCTGTGAAGAACCGACTTTGCCAGCTGCCCCCTGTGCCTGCCCTCACCAGCCCAGCCTTCCCAGTGCCCACTGAACGACCCCTGCCCAGCCTGGCGTCCCCCCTCTCCTTAGCTGCCTTGGCAGGGGGGCCATGCCCCTCGTCCGAGCCCCTTGCAGCTGGACTGTCCTCTGGTGAGAACCCCGGCCAGGCTCCTGCCTCTCCCACAGAGAGGCAGCCCCTGGCTGTGGATGAGAAGATACTCAATGGCCTCTTCTGCTACTTCTCAGCCTGTGAGAAGTGCGTGCTGGCCCAGGTGTGCAAAGCCTGGCGGAGGGTGCTCTACCAACCCAAGTTCTGGGTGGGCCTCACCCCGGTCCTGCATGCCAAGGAGCTGTACAATGTGCTTCCTGGAGGGGAGAAGGAATTTGTGAACTTGCAGGGTTTTGCCACTCGTGGCTTTGACGGCTTCTGCCTGGTTGGTGTCTCGGACCTGGACATTTGTGAATTCATTGACAACTACTCCCTGTCAAAGAAAGGTGTCAAGTCCATGAGCCTCAAGCGGTCTACTATCACTGATGCCGGACTGGAGGTAGGGGCTATGGGTGTATGGGTGAGGCAGGGTTCATGCTATGCCTTCTGATGGGTGGAGTAAAGCACTCTGAGAGGGAGAGAGGAGGAGAGGACAGCAGGAGGGACTGAGAATCAGGCATCACAAGGAGAAGCCTGGAGAAGGGAAAGAAAGAGACTGGATGAACAGAGGGCCCTCTCTGCTCCCCACACGCAGCCAGGAGTGGGGATGGGCAGAGCTGTGAGATTTGGGGTATAGGGAATCACTACAGATGGATGGACATGTGAACTCAGCAAAGAAGTAGACAGTGGAAAGGGAGAGCTATGGGATATTGAATGATCTTGATAGGAGGTGCTGGACTCTGGACTAGGGAAGTTCACAGAATCAGAGAATTTTGAGCTGTAAGGGACCTTAAGGATCATCTAGTCCAAATCCTTCGTTTTGAAAAATTGGATCTATGATTTAATTGGCATAGGCCCTATACTAACTATAGGGGACTCCCCTTGAAGGAACTTCTGCTACTATTCTGAAATTTCTCTTTTTAGAGAGTGGCCTAGGGAATTGAGAAGTTAGGTGCCTTGAACAGGGTCACGTAGCTAGTGTGCGTCAGAGAGGGGACCAGGTCTTTCTGACTCCAGGGCTGGTTTTCCGTTGATTATGTCATCCTGCCTAACACAGCCCTCATTTTACAGATGACAAAACTGAGGTTTGGAATGAAATAGAAAAACTCTTTTCTCTGAGATCTTACAGCCGCAGATCTGATTTGCTAGAGAAAAGGAGAAGGGGAAGAAAAGCAAAGGGGAGGAAAAAGAGTGCAGGCAAGAGGAGGGAAGTAGAGGAGAGAGAGAAAAAGCGGAGAACAGAGGAAAGAAGTGAAGATACAGGGGTAGAGAAGAAAGGTAAGAAGATCATTACATGAAAACCTTGATGCCATTAAACGGAAAAAGATATACCATCAGAAAAGTTAAGTGGTCCCATCAGCGGATCACAGCAATTCACTCATCCACCAATGGTCTTCACTGAGCGCCTAATAGATGCTTGGCACGGTGCTGGGGTGAGGTATAGCTAGCTAGTCTAGGGGGTTGATACGAAGAAATATGAGACATGGTCCCTGCCCTTGGAGAGTACACAATCTAGGTGGGGAGATAGTTGAACAACAATGCCAAACACTATAGGTTAAGGGTTGTCAGTGAGTGCTTCAATGAAGAAAGAGAAATCACTGTCGCTTGGAGTGATTTGGAAGGACTTCTCTGAGAAAGCAAAACTCAAGCTGGTCTTTGAAGAAGGGGAAGGGAAATGAGAGGTAGGAAAAGCATTCCATACAGGGAGTGCAGCCTGAGCAAAGGACTAGAGCAAAAATCAAGCTGTTTCCAGGGACAATGACAAGAAACTGGCTAATGCAGAGGGTACCCGTACAAACTCTGGATTTAGAGATCCCGGCCATCTTTCCCCAGGACATTAAATAGCACAGAAACTTTAGAGACTGAAAGGGCTAACACGATTAAGCTGGTTACGGTTCAATTAGCATTAAGTCCTTTGAAGAAAGGTGTCAGAGAGGTCTGGGGGACCCAAAGGAACCTGGCATGGGGAGGCAGAACTAGGGAACTCCCTAACACTGTGCTTCCTGCCATGCCCCTTCACAGGTAATGCTAGAGCAGATGCAAGGGGTAGTTCGCCTGGAGCTGTCTGGTTGCAACGACTTCACAGAGGCAGGATTGTGGTCCAGCCTCAATGCCCGAATCACATCGTTGAGCGTCAGCGACTGCATCAATGTGGCCGATGATGCCATTGCTGCGATTTCCCAGTTGCTGCCCAACCTGGCTGAGCTGAGCCTGCAAGCGTACCACGTCACGGACACAGCCCTGGCCTACTTCACGGCCAAGCAGGGCTACACCACCCACACCCTGCGGCTGCACTCCTGCTGGGAGATCACCAACCATGGCGTGGTCAACATGGTGCACAGCCTGCCCAACCTGACTTCCCTCAGTCTCTCTGGCTGTTCGAAAGTCACAGATGATGGGGTGGAGCTTGTGGCCGAGAACCTACGAAAGCTCCGCAGCCTCGACCTGTCCTGGTGCCCCCGGATTACTGACATGGCCCTAGAGTATATTGCTTGTGACCTGCACAAACTCGAGGAGCTGGTGCTCGACAGGTATGCCCAGGGGGGGTGGGTGTGAGCCAAAAGAAAGGGCAAGAATAGCACGGGTATATATGAGCTCAGGTAGGCATGGGACAGCAACAGATTCCAAGTGTCCATCCCCTCTGAGTTTCTTTTTTTTTTTTTCCAAGGCAGTTGGGGTTAAGTGACTTGCCCAAGGTCACACAGCTAGTAAGTGTCAAGCATTTGGTCTGAGGTCAGATTTGAACTCAGGTCCTCCTGACTTTAGGGCCAGTGCTTTATCTACTGCGCCATCTAGCTGCCCTCCCTCTGAGTTTCAATGCCTTTGTTATTCTGGGCTGAACATTCCAACCTCTCTGGTACTTAGGGTCATTCCAGGAGTAAAAGGAAGCCCAGGATGGTGGGAATAAGACCCTGAAAACTTCTGACAGTCTTTGAAGGGAAAGCTAAACAGAGGATTTGGTGACCAGGAATCTATGCAGTGAATAAAAAGGGGCGGAAATAATTTCTTTTTAAATTTACATTTCTATATCCTTTTAAGTTTACAAAGTGTGTTTCCACCAACAGCCCCTGTGTGAGGTAGGCAATACAAGTATTATTATCACCATTTTACAGATAAGGAAACTGAGGCTCAAGGAGGGTAAGTGACTCATCTAGGAACACACAGCTAATGAAGGACAGAGCCAAGAATTGAGTCTCCTGACTCCCACTTATACTCTATCACATTGGAAATGCTAACAAACCTCCCTGGGAGACCTCTGTCAACATATAATGAGGAGACCCTGGAACAGGGTTCCTCTTCATTTGAGTGACTGCGTCTTTGAAGCCATACCCAAACTCTTCCTTGCCAGAGCACTGGCTCCTAGGAAGAAGAAAACAGTTAATATTTCCATGGTGCTTATCAAAACTCATTGAGAAATATATAGTTCAAGTAATAGGACCCCCATTTTATAGATGGAGTTTGGGGAAGGTAGATCGGAGAAAGAGGAGCCATCTATGTTAACCTTGATCCCAGGCAGATACCCCTCTGGTCTGGTCCCACAGGTGTGTTCGAATCACAGACACTGGGCTCAGCTACCTGTCCACCATGTCTTCACTCCGAAGCCTCTACCTACGATGGTGCTGTCAGGTAGGAGTCCCCCTTCCCCCATGCCACCTTACAAAAAGGTACAGAGTAAGAGAGGCCTGGATAGGCCCACCTGGAGTTCCTTTCCTACCTCCAAATTTGGCTGCCCAGAGTCAAGGGCCTTTCAAAGGAGGCAGTGGGGTAGCCTCCTTGGAGCAAATCCTTCCAGGGATTTTCTTGTAGTCCTCTATCCTCCCCACCCCCAACCTATGCTACTGCTAGAACAGAAACTTTTTACCTGGGGTCCTCAGACCCCAAGGAGTCCATGGATAGATTTCATGAACTTGGATAGGGAAAAAATACATCTTTATTTTAATACAATTGGTTTCCTTCGTAATCCTAAGTAATTTATTTTATTCATTTAAAAACATTATTATGAGGAGAGTTCATAGATTTCAGGGCTCTGGAAAAGGGGTCCAGGACACAAAATTGTTAAGAACCCCTACTTTAGAAGGCTCTTCCTCCACCTCTCCAACCTCTCCAGATTACCCAAATGCCCAGAATCTCAGAGTTAGAAGGGACCTCAATGGTTATAGAGTCCAGCCTGTACCTGCTGCAGACATTTCGCATACAGTCTAAGTTCTCATCTGTTTTTTGGTTTCCTGGTCACATTGTTTACTCACTGAGCTTGGAGTCCACTAAGAATTCCTTCTGCTTCTTTTTGACATAAGTATTGTCTAGCCTCACCTCCATCTCATAATATTTATATATCTGATTTCTTTTTGTTTTTAAAATCAATTTTTATTGAAATCTTTCATTTTTACATCACCCAGATTTCCCCCTATATCTCTCCATTTCCCCCTCCCAAAGATTCATCCCTTATAACAAAAGAAAACAAAAGAAGGAGAAGAAAAAAATTGCACAAAACTGAGCAATACATTGAAAAACGGTTTGTTTTAACCCAAATATAGAACTTTACAGAAAGAGGTGGTGGGGAGGGATTATCAGTGGCTGGGTTCTCCCCTCTGTCTAAACACAGGAGGGAAGGGAGATACAAGAAGGAAAATATTAACTAAACCCATTGGCTCCACAGGTGCAGGACTTTGGGCTGAAACACCTCTTGGCCATGAGGAGTTTGCGCCTCCTCTCTCTCGCAGGTAAGATCTTTCCCCTCCACCTTTTACCCCATCTCTCTGCCCCCTGCCCATATTCCCTGGTGTGTGGCCTCCAATAGAGAAGGGGGGCAGAGCTGCACCCTGCGGCAACAGCTCAGTGGGAAGGGGGAACAGGTGGCATGCCCCCCACCCCTTGCCAAGATGAGGAAGCCACTCCTACCCTACTTCCACAGAGGTGTTTCTGGGCCTCTCTCTCTTCCTCTACTCTAGAAGCTGAGGTGTCCCAAGGGACTGGTCAGCTCTTGGGGTGTATACCCTAAGGATCAGGCCTAGAGACCTCGCACGCGGGAGTCTTGAACCCCTAGATTTGCCCAGGCTCTGGGTTAGGGTGGGGGAACTGAAGAGGGTACTTGTTGCCCCATGCCTCTCATCTGCCCCTCCTCGTGCTTCCAGGCTGTCCCCTGCTGACCACCACGGGGCTCTCTGGCCTGGTGCAGTTGCAGGAACTGGAAGAGCTGGAACTGACCAACTGCCCTGGAGCCACCCCCGAGCTCTTCAAGTATTTCTCCCAGCACCTACCCCGATGCCTGGTCATAGAGTAGGGGCCAGGCTGGGTTTGGCCCCATCCACCTTGGGACTTGACCCCTCTTGCCCCACTCCGCTTCTTCCCTTCTTCATTCAGTTTCATTGTCCCACAGGGACCTGGGTCATACTCCACACAGGACCTCAGAGTCCTAGGGACCCAGCCTAGCTCTTCCCCCACTCCCCCATTGCTCTGCCCTCACCATCCTCTGCGTCAATTTGCCAACTAACTCAAGCCAGGAATAGCTAAGGGGGGAAAGGGGGAGGGCAGGTGGCTACCCTGGTCCAGGCCAGCAGAAGGAGTGATAATGGGGAGGTATGGACATTGATCCTTCCTCTTAACTAGGCTAAGAAGGCTGGGCAGTCACAGGAGCTGGGGCCCTGCTTCCCACATTCACACATCGCTACCCGGATGCTCAGGAGCAATTTGATCATCCCCCTACGGCCTTCCTACTCCTAATGCTCTCAGCTACTTCTGTCCCTACATACCTGGGGTAGGACAGAGGCAGCTTTGGGATACTGTCCTATGTGGTAGTACAGCATCTATCCTTAGTGGTCCTAGAGAATCATAGGATCACAATTTAGAGCAGGAAGGAGAAGATTCCTGCTTTTGAACCTACACGTGTACACACACACACACACACACACACACACACACACACACACACACACACACACACACCACAATCCAGGCTCAGACTCATCAGTTTTCTTTAGACCCAAATTCTGACAGCAGCCTTGAGGCTCATACCCAGGGCCCTTTTCAACTCTTCTCCCAGTTTAAACACTCCCCTAAAACATACACACACACACACACACACACACACACACCCCATATACCCTGAAGCCTCAGGCCTTCCAGCTAAACCAGCGGGTGTTGGGCATGGTACCATTTGTCATGGAGGGCTGCTGGACAGAGCCTATCCCCAGGACCCCTCAGGGGTTGATAAAAGGAAGAAATTGGGGATAGATTAGGACAGAGGCTCTGAGTTCCTAGAGTAGGGAAGGCATAATACCCTGGGGGAAGTGGGGTGAGAGAAATGACCACCCACTTTCTGTATCCTCTATCCAGAATGCTGTTTCCCAAGTGGTAGGCTCATCCTGTCCTTCAGAGAGAAGGAACCCTTCCCCTTCTTAGACTATGAGCACATACACATACATGGGTACATATGTGCATGCCCCTCTGTGCCCTGCTCTGCACGCCTGCCCACAATCATGTTCACCCATGCACAAATCCCGTCCCACCCCCCCTAGCTCAGGCAGCTCTATCCCATTTCCCCCTAGACCTCTGGCCAGAGCAGCCCCTTTGGATCCCAGTCCTGGGTGGAGGTCAAGTGGAAATAGACCCTTAATGAAGGCTAGCTTTGTTTCAAAAGGTACTGAAGAGAATCTTTGATCTTGGTCTCTGTTCCCTAGGGCAAGAGTAATGCCCAGAGAGTTCAAGGCAAAGCCCACATCTCTTATTTCTTCCCATCTTTTTCTGTCTAGCTTCCTGCCTACTTTCATCTCTCTCCTCCTCCTTCTTCCGTGTCAGATTCAGCTGTGTCTTCTAGCTCCCTTGTCCCCCACTGGGCCCATTTCCATTGTGAGGCCAAGGGCTCGGCATGTCCAGCATGTGTTGCTGGGGGCAGGGAAGGGACTCACCTAGGCTTTGCTTTTGAACAGAGGCATTTAGTTTTTCTGTCCCCATACCCCAGTACCTTCTCCAAATCTTCAGTGTTGAGGAGAGGCTTTGTTTTCCCCTTATGGGGAAACTGAGGTATAGTACCGCCAGGCAATCTGAAAGATACTGTTTTAAGCATAGAATGAAGCAAAAGATCTCACTTTTACTCCCACCTCAGATGGTTCTGCTGTTCCATAACCACTGTGAGGTCTGGGGTAAGCCAAGGATGTGGTAGGGGGGGATGTTCAGGGTCTTCCCTTCAGGGCCTGATTTCTCACCCTCCTTGTTTCAGGGAGCCCCTGTTGACTCAGGCCAAATTCTCCCTCCCTCACCCTGGGTACAGCATTTACAGCCATGGCCTGAGGCAGGACTGCAAGACCATAGATAAACACTGACATTCTCTGCCATTGGAATCTTCCTTATGGTGAGGGTGAGGGGGAAAAGGAAGAATATTGGAGGAGAAAGACTCCTACAGATCAAAGGATCACCTCTGGGTTTTGCTAGAGGAGGCCTGGAAATGGAAGATGTGGGTACGGATGGTTCTGAATGAATGCCTCTTCCTGGGACTGGGTACACTAGCTCCAGGTGGGGTCAGATATCTGTCCAGCTAAGGCTCTCTCTTCCTGGTCTCAACCCACTCCACTGCTGATATGGCTCCTTCCCTCCCCCTTATCTGGATCTCTCATCCACACGGATGGGACAGACATTGTCTGAGCATTGTCTCCCTCTTTCTTCACTCCCTGCCCCCGGGACAGGAGCCATTAAACTGGGGACTGGGCGCTGGAGCCTAGAACTGTACCTCTCCCCTCCACCTGTTCCCCTCCCCTCCTAGGAAGAAGCTTCTATTGGGCCCCCCAAATATAGCTATGGGTGCTGGAATAAGCTCTCTCTGTCCATCAAGCTTCCAAAAGCCCTCTCTGCTGTGAGGGCCAACGGGACAGGTATGGGTTTTTTCAGCACTGCAACCCAATCTTTAATGTCTTCATGCTTTGGGGTTTGGGAACCATTTATACCTGACCCTGCCAAGGCTGGGGCCCTGACCCCATAAGCCCCCAAGGACAACTCCAACCAGCAACTCTGATCTTCCACAGCATCATGGTGGGGAAAAGGGCTTCCTTATTGGCCACCCCTGACCCAACTTCTTCCACCCCCACTCCACCCATCCCAGATGGTCTCTGATGATGGCCGCATAAGATCCTAAACCATTTGGAAGTCCTGGATTCTGGAATCGAAAGCTGGTACCAGCCTAGCAAGAGAGCTGAGGAGGGGAAGTTGGGTCCCCTCCCATTCCAAACACGAGATCCCCAGGAGACAGTGCTCCCCCTCACCTCATCCTGGGACAGAGACCATCCTGGGAGCGAAGAGATTATTTCTGATTGGAAGAGATGAACCTATCCCTAAAACTTCACCCCCACCCCCCACTCCTCACCCCACAGAGAGAAGAAGAAAGAGAGAAAGAGAGAGAGAGAGAGAGAGAGAGAGAGAGAGAGAGAGAGAGAGAGAGAGAGACACTGTTGAAGTGAAACACAGAAATGATTTGACAGCCCAAAGATTTTTCCTGTACCCTCGGAGCCAGACCATCTGGCCTGGGGCTCCGGGCTGACTTGGTTCTAAGCCAGTTTTCTCAACCCCCCTCCTCTGCTTTGTGCCCCCTGGGGTCAGGGAGGGGAATGGGAGAGGTGTTCATTGGTCCAAAGTATTAAAGTAACTGAAGCTGTGATATTTCCAACTACTGTAGGAGGAAAATAAAAGGGAGATAGGAAAAAAAATCAACCCTGAAAACCATTTTCTTACTGTACATAACAACCTCATTCTCCTGTATATGCGGAAGATATAACCTTATATTTGGTAAGTGTTTCTTGTGCTATTTTATCACGTGACCTGTTTATAAAAATATATATTAAAAAAAGTTGCAAAAACACTTGTGTTTAGTGTGTTTCTTCATCTTGATAACATGAGATGGAACTGGTGCTAAGGACTCAGCCCCTGAGAAGGGAACAACTCACTCTCCCCCTCCTCCTCCTCATCCAAGTGTTATGAGCCTAATAATTACTATTACTACTATTACTAACTCCTTGTGCAGTACTTTTTACTCTTCATAATGTTCCTACGAGGTAGGGCATTATATATATCATTATTTTACAAAGGAGGAAACTGAGGTAAAGTGTTTTGTAAAATTATAATTACTCAATTATGTATATATAATGTGCCTATATGTACACATATATATGTGTGTGTATGTGTATATATATTATATATAAGTCATATTGCCTGGTCTCTGCTACTACCACTAGGTTGTTAGAATGAAAAGAGGAACAGATTATGGATTAGAAGACCTGGGGTCTTTACTGACTCACTGTGTGATTTTGGACAGACTCACTTCCCTACTTTGAGCTTCGGTTTCCTTATATGTAAAATGAGGCTTTTGCCAACTCTGACATTCTGTGAATTTGCATTATGTTTCATTCTGGGCACCATATTTTAGGGAGAGCATCGACTAGTTGGAGTATTTCCAAATGAGAGTGACTAAAGTGGAGACATTAATGGAAACTACACCAGATGAGGACTGGTTGAAGCATCTGGGCATAGTAGGGGGCAAAGAGGACTTAGGGGCATTAACGATAGCTGTCTTCAAGTATTGGAAGGACTTTACTGTGGAAGAGGGATTACACTTGTTCTGTCTGACCACAGACAGAATAGTTGTATGTTACAGAGGTTATCAGGGAAAATTTCTTAGAAATTAGCTGTCCAAAAATGGAATTGATTCTTTGAGATAAAAGCAAATCTCTCATCACTTCAAGGTCTTCAAGGGATGTTGTAGAGAGGATTCCTATGCAGGTACAGGTTACATCACCCTCGAGGCCCCTTCTGACTTACCTGGTGTTCTACAATTCTATTTAAATGACTTACTCAAGGTAACATAGTGGTGTAACCAAGACTAGAATATAGGTTTCCTAACTCCTGGTGTATTGCTTTTCCCTCTATCACACCACTCAGTGCTGGTTCCTGAGAACCAGCTGTTAAATTTTCAGTGTGAGTGAGCATCTACACCTCACAAATCAGCAAACTCTAAAAATCTGAACTTGATTTATTGTTTTGTTGATTGTCTGTACCAGGGATTGGCAAACTATAGTCTGAGGATCAAATCTGGCGCATTTCTTGTTTTGATATGGCCTTTGAACTTAGAATGGTTTTTAGATTTTTAAATACAATAAAACTTTATTTAAAAATGTAAAAGCCATTCTTAACTCAGGCAGTACAAAAACAAGCAGTGGGCTGGATTTGGCCCAAAAGTAATGGGAAAAATGTTTTAAAAAAAAAAAGGCAATTAAAGTTAAAAGCATATCCCATTTATTTTTGCTTTTTGGTGAGGCAATCAGGGTTAAGTGATTTGCCAAGGGTCACACAGCTAAGTGCCAAGTGTCTGGGGTCAGATTTGAACTCAGGTTCTCCTGACTCCAAGGCCAGAGCTCTATCCACTACGCCACCTAGCTGCTCCTGAAAGTATATCCCATTTTTAGAATCTGTTGCTAAACATATGCCAGCATACCCCCAGTCGCTCCCCCAATATTCACTGGTACTGGTTGGTTGGGTCCCTAGAGGAACAGTTATTACTACTTCTAGAATTCTAGGAGTAATTCTGTGGGTGACTATCCTTATAACATTTGCTCATGAGTCCCCACTAGTGTGATTTCCCCTAACAATCACCCAATATACTCAGTTCTTTAGCAAAAGAATTTACTCAAATGGCATAGCAAGAATAGTGTTTCTCCCAAAACTTGGGGTACACTCTCCCACAAATACAGAGTCCATGGGGGTGGGGAGAATGGGCATGAATTGACAGTGGTAGTGAGGCCTATGTGGAGAAAACACATATAGTCAAGGCAATTCACAATTCCAGAAGTGCAGAGCCTCACCTTTTCTTCTTCCTAAAGGTTTTCATGGAGTTTGCTGTGAGAAAGAACTAACATCAATGATGAATGAATTGTCCCACTGCTTAGCTGGGTTGGTTTCTTGCAGGGCATGGTGTGTCGGCTGGATGGTCCACCACTGGGCCCTGAGCAGGCTCTTCAGGGAATGGTAGAAGGGTTTATCTGATGGACTTCATTGGGCTCACTCTTTGATAGACAGCTGCAATATATTACCACCTTCAGCCATTGGCTCAGCTGAATGATACTCCAGTCAGTTCAGCTGAAGTGTCAAGATGCTTTTTTTTAGCTGGAGTTCTATTGTGCTCTTTCAGCTGGGGCAACCACCCTTAGCCTACAATTGGCAGAAGACTCCATTTTTACTACCTCGGAACCTCAGTTATGAGGTTGGTCACCTCCAGGCAGGAAGTGGGAAAGGGCATTCTAGCCTCTCCTGTTTGACCAGCTTTCCTGATTCAAAGCCACTCAGTATGGTTCCATCTTAGCTTACAACAGTCAATCCCAATTCAGTTACACTTCCCAGACTCCATTTGAAGCAGCTAAGGAC